AAAAATAATAATAAGCCCATTACATGTTAACGTGAATGTTATTTTTTAAGAAAAAAAATTACTGAAAACAGTGGCATTGTTTTACTATTTTGTAAGTCTCCTGAAGTGTCTAGCTTAATACAAGATAGCGGTGTTATCATAACTGCTTCTGCGTTTTTTTGTAGTATCATACATCATGTAGTCTGAAAAGTCTCCCATACGCCTGAGAGAATGAGAGAGAAACAGTCAATTAATGTCTTAGTATTATTATGAAAATGGCTTTGACCTATCGAACTCTTCAGAGTCCTCAGACCACACTTTGAGAACCCCTGTTTAAATTGGTGAACTAATAAATGCTATCAGAATCCTACTTTTGAGGTGCTCTAGCCACACTTTTAATTATGAGGGTAGCTACAGTAATCATTCTGATCCAAAACAAATGGAGAGTTTTTCCTTTACCCTTAGGTTGTCATGCCCTCTACCCTAAACACATGCTATTTTTAGTCTTTACTTTTTTACTGCTCCCTTAGCTTCCATATGAGCGCTGGTGGCACAGTGGTTAAAGCACTTGGCTGCTAACCGAGAGGTCATTGGTCTGAATCCACCAAACGCTTTACGGGAGAAATATGTGGCAGTCTGCTTTCATAAAGATAACAGCCTTGGAAGCCTGGGGGAGGGGGCACTTCTACTCCATCCTACGGAGTTGCTTTGAGTCGGGAACAACTCCACGGCAGTGGGTTTGGTTTGGTTTTTTTTAGCTTCTGTGTTTAGAGGAGTCCTTGCTTTCTGGCCTGATTTATAAGTCTGCTGCAGTGACATTTCTGTGTCTTTGCTGAAAAAAAATTCAATTCTAGTGTTATTTCTGTGTCTGTTCTGGAAAAAAACCATGATGACTGGGGCCTAGGTATTCTCTTAACTGGATGCTGTAGAAGTGACCAGTGAATTTTGCTTTCTTGTCTATTAAATGTTCAGAGAGGCCTTTTTGAAGACTCATGACTAGATCACTGCCAGGCATAGCACTTTAAACCATCCCTCCTGCACCTCGCTCTTGTCTAGTCTTTCGCTGTGGCTGGACTAATGGTATCTCTTGATATCTATTTTGCTATCCTGCATTATGTCATTATTTAGTCATAAAAATAAAATTTACTGTATTTTATTTGAGGTATGGGAATGGATAGTCCAGGTTTTGGAGGAATGAATAGAATTGGAGGAGGTATGTATAAGCATTTGTTTTTGTGTATACCCATCGCAGTTTTTTAATAAACTAGAAACCGTGTGGAGAATTCCAAGGGAAAAAAAAAGCTATGGTTTATTGTTGGTTCATTTCCTAAAGACTGCTAGCAGAAATTGAGGCTGGTACATACTTAAGGGAATATGGACGGTGAGAAGAAGTAACTGCACAAGGTAGTGTGGATAAAAAGCTTACTGGTGAGACAACAGTCACAACATGTACCTTTCTGCTGTACAATTGACAGTCTGATCTCAGAGTTGATCTTTACTCCATAGGAATTGGGTTTGGTGGCCTGGAAGCAATGAATAGCATGGGAGGATTTGGAGGAGTTGGTCGAATGGGAGGTAAGTAAACATATATGGTGGCGTGTGTGCTCCACTTAGTTTTCCCTATTACTAAGATTCCCCCCACCCCCACTTGGGAATGGGCACTGTAGATGTCTTCAGAGGGCATATGGGCGCTTGAGAGATAGGGACCGGCATGGCAGAAATGGGGTGATATGTATGGTGCGTGAGGTAAGTTAGGTAAATCACAAACTTTTTGTAACTTGTGACTTTTGCTGTCTTTTCAGTTTAGTTTAGATATATTCCTAAATGGATTACTGTGTATTGATATACTTGGAAAGGTTTAATTTGTTGCATAATCTTTTCAGAGCTATACCGTGGTGCAGTGACTAGTAGCATGGAGAGAGATTTTGGACGTGGTGATATTGGAATCAGTCGCAGCTTTGGAGATTCCTTTGGTAGACTTGGTAGGGTAGCATACTTCTTTTCTTTTTGCAGATTATATTATTCAAAATTTGTTTCTCTTTTTTTTTTGTAAAATATTAGAAATTTATAATGTTTCATGCAATTGTTTGAAGAATACACTTAGGGATTTTAATATATTAGCTCTCTTTTTCAGTAGCTTAGATATTTGAATGCTATTTCTAGAAGACTTTATACTTGTCAGTTACCGTACATCTTCTGAGAGCATAATATCTTGGGAATTTTAAAGCATGATTATATAAATTAATTAGTATATTATCTCTCCATCCTTGTTTAGGCAGTGCAATGATTGGAGGGTTTGCAGGAAGAATAGGAGCTTCTAACATGGGTCCAGTAGGATCTGGAATAAGTAGGTTTAAATTTTACTAGAATTTATTCAGTAATAATTTGAGTGTTTGCAAAAGACTTCGCAAGAGTAGTTACTGTAGTATAGCAATGACTTTGTTCTTATATGTTAATATGTCTTGTCATAATTCAGAAAAGCTATGATAGTTCTTGAACTCAGGCTTTTTTTGATCACTGTTTGAGTTTTCTAAACTGTTTGAATTTTACTTCTTTGACATTTATAAACTAACACCTGAGTGTATATTAACCATCAGCCAATCCAAGAGCCTCCGTCCCAACTAAGCAATTTGGGGATTTCGCTGATCATGTGTCAGGAATAACTTTTGCTCTAGCACCAACTTTGTTTCCTTGCTTAGTCTCTATAACTGCTGTTTGTAACTGGCTTATTTTATCCCTGAACATGTTGTGTCTGTTGTTAGACACAGTAAATTGCCCCAGATATCACACTTTCAGAGACCTCCTAAGTTTGAGGGCTAAGGTTGAAAGATGTGCTTATTTCCTCTTAAACCTTTCTCGTAAAAGAATCAAGAGTAGTTGCAACATTGGGGAATGCTGAATTTCTCCCATCTGTTCCACTATCACATCTTAGGATGTATATTCCCCAAGCCTTAACACGTGGTTTAGTTTTTGACTGCTGTTGTTTACTGAACCACGTCACTGTGCGTTCTCCCTATTTTTCTGACTTTTGTTAATTGATGGAACTTCACAGAGGAAGTATACCCTACTTGAACTAAGAGTGAATTCTAAAATCCTGTTAGCTGAAGACATCTCCTTCCATTGTACCTTGCTGCTCATTTTATTACTCCTCTCATAATCTTTTTTACAGCCTTGACCATTTTGCTATTAAGCCCACCTTTCCTACCTTCCTCTTCCACCTTAGTATTTATACTTATGTTTCCCTAATTTTGTATTTGTTATTCACAGAAAGCCATTTGAAGGGTTATGTTAATTTTTAGAAGTTTTATATATGGGGATATTAGGTACAAGAAAAAGGTAAATTTTGAGACTAAGTAGGATTGGTATAGTTAAAGGGGACAGGAAATAGAGTCAAATCATAAGAATGAAGCAGATACAAGCTAGGAGCTCTATGGTTAAAGGGGAGTGATTCTGTTTCTTCTCCCTTAAGTTCTAGATAATATTGAGCTTAAAAGTTACGTTTTTATGTGGTTATTGAATACTGATATGAGAAGAGAAATTGTATGGGAAACAAGTGAAGATATTAAGGTGAAAGGAAAGCTAGGAAGGGAATATTATGCAGGAGAGTATGATAGCAAAATTTGATGTGTTGGAGTTGTAATCATTTGAATTTGTCCCCATATATCTTTTTTCTAGCAATTATTAAGTTTGGTATTATGGGGAAATAAAAATAAGGATAAAAAAAGTGATTGGTAGAGTATATATATAATTTATATATATGTTTATTAATCAAGACATAATTTTATAGAGGTGTATGTTATAAAGTATTTACATTAGTGACAAGAATTAAAGTTTCTCAACTAATCAAATATATACCACGTTAAATTCTGTTCCTTGGAAAATCAATTGCATTGTCTGAATGAAAGAAAGTAATTTTATGTTTATATACTTTCTATTATATGAATAAAGTAATTTTTTCTCTCCTTTCTCAAAAATGATTCTCTCCCTCCCTTTTTTCTTCCTGCTTTTGTTTTTGAAACAAAAACACCAAATTCCCAAATCCTTCCTCCCATCTCTAAAAATGCAGGTGGTGGAATGAGTAGCATGAACAGTGTGACTGGAGGACTAGGGATGGGCCTGGACCGGGTGAGCTCCAGCTTTGATAGAGTGGGACCTGGCATAGGAGCTGTACTGGAAAGGAGCATCGATATGGAGCGAGGATTTTTATCAGGTCCAGTGGGAAGCGGAATGAGAGACAGAATAGGCTCCAAAGGCAACCAGATATTTGTCAGAAACGTAAGCAAATAAATGTAATGGATACTTAAAATTTTTTTTTCTTCTTATCTATCTGTTACTAATACCTCTTTTCATTCTAGCTGCCTTTTGACTTGACTTGGCAGAAACTAAAAGAGAAATTCAGTCAGTGTGGTAAGTATGCCAGTGACTAGATATGTTGATATTGATTATGGAGGAAAAATTGGCTTTAAGATTTTTAAACACTGTTTAGTCCTTTACTGGTCCAGATGCTTATATCTGGATAGTGTGCCAGGTCAAATTTCACTTTAAATCATTGAATTATTTTGCTATCCTTTGACTTAGAGCTGTGCAAGCTGCTACCAAATAGCAAGGTTTAGAGTAGAGCCTGTGCTTGTCTCCTATGGGTAAAGAAGGGCCTTCCTTTATTATCTGGTTTTTAAAAAGTTAGTATGCCATCTTTGTTTACATTTAGAAAGGGATTTTCTCATGGTTAATATTAGTGAATGGCATATTTATTTCCTTGTTTATAGTGTCGTGCAGTGCAGTGTCAGCATGATGCACTGAGATGCTGACATCCCAATGATACACAGTTAGTAGGCAGACCCATTCTGCACCCTCTGTATTGCCTACACAACATAGGGAACAGCTGGTAGCATAGAACCCAAACTTTTCTTGCCTGATGATACAACCTATGCAACCTTAATATGTTCATCAGATCTTTGGATGATTGGGTGGTTTATTACTTTTAAAAGAGACTTGTATGTACTTGTTATTTTTGGTATAAAATGTTATAAAATATCTTAATAAAGTTGTCACCTTTTTTTTTTTTCTTTTTTGTGACGATAGGAGAAATAGCTTGGGTGACACAAAATAACAGATTTCCTACTGGTATTTTTCTATTGCATTGGATCCCAGAGACTATAATCACAATAGTAAGCTATACAGATAGCATATAGTAATAATGAAAAAGGGCCTTTTAGAGTTAATGAAAAGAGGTTTTTAGAGTATGTCTTTAATTTTTTGAGTTCATAAAGGAGATGAGTTTAGTGGTCTCCCACAAAAATAGCCTTTGTGGCTTCTTTCAGAGAGATTATTAGTATAGTTGCTGTGTTTTCATAGTACTTTATGCTAACTCTTGTAGCTTTTATTATATTGTAATTATTTGCTCATGTTTTCTTCCTTCCTAGACTGAGGTTCTTGGGGACAAGAACTGTCATCTTTTTATGCTAACACCTTTTATTGCCTCTGTACCTGTTCTGAGAGTGTGTATGAGTGTGTTAGGCATTCTGACATCTTCATTTATTCAGTTATTGATATTCCTTCATTAAATCTTCCATTAAGATATATTTGGCAGTCTGATAGGCACTAGAATTATGAAGATGAGCAAAGTTGATACTGTCCCTGCCCTCAGGGAACTTACAGTATGACTCTGTCTCTGTCTAGGATGTTCTATGGGCTCCCTTTGTTGAGCACCCTTTTATTTTGCAGTAATCTAAATTTCAAGGAATGGAAACTTAGTTTTTTTGATAAAAAAGTTGTTGAAAACTAGTCAACTGGTAGATAGTCACCACTAAGAGAAATTGGAGCCCTAGTGCCACAGTGGTTGAGTTCAGCTGCTAACCAAAATGGAACTGACTTGACGGCAATGGGTTTGGTTTTTTTTTTTTTTTTTTTTGATACGAGGAAGGTATTTTGGGGTGTTGGTAGTCTTTGAAGGAGTAAGAAGAGCAACTGGGATGAGTAACCAGCATCTGACCATGAGTCCCATAGACTACAGAGGAATGAATGTATTAGGGCCTTAGTGAAAGACATCAAATGAGCAGTGGTGGCTACAGGTATGATAATCTTTGTTGTAATTTCAGTGAAAAAAAATCTCCAAGTGAGATATGATATTATGTTAAAAAGTAGAAATGAAACTTTAAGAAAAGATAGATAGCAAAGTAGGGCCAATAAGTGACATTAATGAAAATATGAACAATGTTAAGTTGACTGTACATTAACCCTATGTAAGCAGGTTTTCTTTTGAGGTCAGGCTTGCAGCAAAGTTGAAGGTCAGAGAGGCCTTTTAGTGGGCTCTTTGTTGGAGTGGCATTGCTTTGACAGGCAAACATCAGCAGTTGAGAGACATTTTGTGAAAGGAAAAAAAAATAGTATCCAAATCTGCATTTTAAAAATTTGTGCAGTATTTTAGACATATAAAACAAATTGGTTACGTTATCATTATTTTGTTTTAGCTGTATTCTTCTCATATCCTTTTGTGATCAGTCTGTAGTTAAATCTTGAGGATTATTTTTTAAAATTCTCCTATAAAAGCTTTTGGCTTTTAGATTTATGTTAATACCACACTTACATAATTCCCTATCATGCCCCTCCCCGCAGTTTTTATCCTTAAACTGCACTGATGGAAAAGGAGATAAGGTATAGTAATACAGAACTTTACACACACACATACACGCACACACACATATATACATACATATTTATATATATTTGAGGAGCCCTGGTGGTGCAGTGGCTACTGACCAAAAGGTCAGCAGTTGAAACCCACCAGCTGCTCCATGGGAGAAAGATGAGTCGGACTGAATGGCAATGGGTAGTATAGAATTAAGTGTTCAGCTGTTGGCGACCATGGAAATTATTTGACCTTTTTCGTAGCACTCTATTATCTATGTATTTGTCTTAAACCTTAGAGTTTTTCTTAGTATTGGAAGTTCCTTTTTAGCCTGCCCAAGCCAGTATCGGACCATTTGCCAGTAAAAGGCAGTATTTTTTTCTTTTTCTTTTTTTTTTTTTTAATTTTTCTGAGCCCAAGGTGAGTATATTCTCTTTCTTGCTTCTTAGTAACAGTTTAGTGGTGTTCCATTTGTCTTCCCCAAGTGATACCAGCAAGCTCCCTGCTTATGTCTCTAGTGGTTAACTGCCCTTCAAGGGGCAATTACAAAGGCTGAGAAAATGTTGTATTGAGAATTAAGTTCTACAGGGGAAAATGTTTTCAGATTTCCCCAAATATAGCAAGATAAGAAATAATTGAGTATAAATGCCATTTTCTAATTCCGCCTTCTAATTCTGATAAGCCTGAAAGGTAATAGTTTTGACCCCAGGCTGGTAAGATTCATATCTTTCCTATAGCAAAATGGATCTCTCTTTTTCTGTCTTACCTTATGTAATTCCTCAGTGACATGGATTTCCAGGAAGGCTGATGATTTGGGTAGAATTTACTGACCCATTCAGTTGGGCTCTACATTAGTTCAACTTGTGCTAAGAGGTCAACTAGGCAGAGTCTTTCAAACTTGCTCCCATATTGTCTGTGTACTTTAGCTGTATTCTGGCCCTCTGGTTAAGTATGATGAAATGCAAAGAAATCCCAGTCTCAGCTATTCCTGCTATAAACCATGTAAACAAATACCAGTTTGTTCCACTGATTTCTGTTCTGTAGTATTTCTACATCAGTATCCTTATTAACTGTGTAGAAAGTGGAGAATTGTGGTAGATTTTATTTATTAAAGCACTTGCTGCTTCAAGCATGACCAGTGGAGTTTAACTCTAGAATAACAGTAAAAATAATGTAACAGTAGATATAATATATGAAAAGCATTTATTCATAATGTCACTTTGTTTTGTAAAGAAATACTAAAACTTTATCTGTCCCTTGTATCATAATCCCACTTCTTCTGGTAAATGTCTGATTTTGCTTTTTTTCTCCTGGGGCTATGTTACAGTTTCACTTAGGCAGTAGATTGTGTAAATGCTTTAATTTGGTCTATTTTTATATAGACTTTTATGTCAGCATTTCCCATAGTATACCTCACAAAGTTTCAATAGGCTGGGTTAAATAAAGTGGAAAAGTTTCTTTTACTGCAGGATAAGTCATTTTTGTTACTAGTGCATGCAACATCAGTACGTTTGATTATTCTGTGATAATTTCTCATGGCATGCGGTTTTGTCCTATACTGTTGCTAAAATAGCAGTCTTATTTTTGTTTGTCTTGGCATCATAAAAGATCAATAGATATTTAAGTCATTTGAGGAAACCCTCAGCATGGAAAAAGCTAGGTCTCATTTTAATAAATTATTTGAAACTCACATTTTCCATTAAATTATTTATCGTTAGGAAAGAAAGTATCTCATTTGATATTTTCACTGGATTTGGAAGAAATACAGTCTTACAACTCTTTCTGCTTGCATCCCACCGGCTCACTTTTTGGGCAGTCTAATCATGAAACAAGTATCCATGGGGTCACTCTGTAGTCTGAGTGTCCAAACAATTAGAAGGCTCAGTTATCTTAGCTGAGGACCTTGTCAGCTAGAAAAGCCTTAGGATATTGTGGAGGTCAGGAATTCAGGTGTCTGAGTGCTGATTCCCAAACTGAGGAAGACCAGAGAAAAACACAAAAGAAAAACCTGTCCTGAAAGACTCTGGAAGATTATGCAAAAGATGATAGATTTTGCTTTAAAGATTTGAAGAGATTTTCTTAGCATGAGTGAAGCTTTCTGTTGCTAATAAGCCTATGGTAGGATACTTATGTTGAGAAGAACCCTAAGTGTTTAGGTAAAATTTGAATAAGGAGAAACCTTTAACCCTTTTTCAGATTAGAAAATTATCTATAATCCCCTTCAGAATCTCTATAGAGCAGCCATTTACCAAGGTATGCTTTTTTAATTAAACTTTTTTTCCAGATAACAGTATTCAAGATAAGGAAATTAGGTACATCTATCTTTAAAGTTTTTTTTTAAATCTCCAGTTTCATTTTAATTTTATCATGTTTATTAGGAAATGTGATTCCTGTATGAGATTTTTTTTTTACTAGTTGTAGATTAAACAGTTTTGTTTGGATCTGCTTTAACCATTATAATATGATTTCTCTGGGGAATTAGACTGTTTTATAAATTCCTAGAACATGATTGAAGAATGCCTGGCCTGGGTTACAAGATCATGGTTTTGGCTCAGTATGACATTTATTATCCTAGATCATATAATAGTATTGAGTAGATGAGGCATTGACTACCAGTTGCTTTTTAAAAAAATGCAGTAGTAGGGGATGGATGAAAAAACAAAAATAGAAAAGTAGTTCAGGATGTTGTAGACAAGAGGTCATTCTTAAAGCTGAAACAGAAAAAAAAAATCTTACTCATACACTGAGATTAAAAGTTGATCCTATCTGGAAAAGCTTATGCTATCTTTTGACAGGTCCTTACTGTTCTTCCTCTTCTTTTTTATTTCTTTCCCTCCATAGAGCTAAATATGTCTGGTTTTCCGATTTGGTTGCTAGACTATCATTAGTCCATAGTGATCTGGCAACTATAATATTTGGGGTTCTCTAGCTTGATTTTTTTGACATGTATATCTAGGTGAGAGAGAACTGTTACGGTAAGGAGTCACATAACCTAAATCTATGACCTCCTTGGACTGGGTGATCATACATAACTAGTTTGCTTGGGATAGTCCACATCTGTTATTTATGTGTAATTTTTAAAGCTCCCCTTTTACTCTCAGAAGTGTTCTGGTTTGGATGATAGATTTTGTGGCCGCCTTGCATTTTGATAAATGACATTGACGTCAGATATCAGTCTCTGGTGTCAGCAGTAATATGAACTGTATAAAGAACAATTGTCTGGTTTAACTTCTCCTTCTGAAAGATTCTCTTCTGTGTTATTACCATCACTGTTTTTACCTTTATTGATTTGAATTGAAGATTTTGCTTCCATGACTTTTTTTCCATAACATATTTGGTACCACTGTAAGACTTTGAATTAAAATTGTGATATTCAGTAAATGCCTTTGACACTGTGGTTGTAAAGCAGAAATAGTAGGCCCTTTTGGGGCCTGGTAGAAATTTGATTTTTGGGAAGTTGCTACTATTTGCGGGGATGAAGAGTGAAGTGGGGATAGAAGGGAGGGAAGAGAGATTGGAGAGGCAGAAAGCAACAGCTTATTCTAGAAATAGTTTTGTAAGTTGATTTTGTGGCATGATGACTTGGTGGCATTTTGTCCTACTTTGTCTTAATTGCTAATAAAATTTAGTTCAGAAATTAAGGATTTAACGTAAAAACTACAATATATTAAATTCTAAGCAAATTTATACTGATTTGAATTTTGCATATTCTAACATGTTTTAACATTCTAACATTCATTAGTTTGTATGAATTACATTATATTTAAAATATAAAATGAGAATAATGCTTATATGGTGTGTTATTTTTAAATTATTAGTGTTAAAGTCTTTAACCATATTAAGACTTCAGATGGCTATGAGAAATTTCACATCTGTATAGTGAAACGGAACCTGTTTAAATTGATAATAATTCTGTACTTTTTTTTTATAGGTCATGTCATGTTTGCAGAAATAAAAATGGAGAATGGGAAGTCAAAAGGCTGTGGAACTGTCAGATTTGACTCCCCAGAATCAGCTGAAAAAGCCTGCAGGATAATGAATGGCATAAAAATCAGTGGCAGAGAAATCGATGTTCGCTTAGATCGTAATGCATAATTTCAAACCACGGTTAGAACATTCCTACATCTGTTTTGCTGAATCTCCTAGTAAAAGTCATTTTTTTAGTAATACTGTATGCTTACAAAAGCTGTAAAAATGAACTTTTAAAATTCCCACCAGCTTTTAACAGTATAGTGTTAAAAATATACTGTGATTTTTGTTAATCTCAAGTTTGGGTTTTTAAAGACAGAGGGTCTGGTCATTCAATTTAAATGAATGGTTATACTGTTTTTAATCAAATAAGCCATTTCCTTGTTGTTATTTTCAGTACCACATAGTGGGTTTCATTTGTTCAAGTTTCCCTTGCTTTTATCAACTTACTGTAAGATAAAACATAGACGGTTTTTTCAAAACTTCTGTTTCATATATATGTAGTTGTCCTTGAAAAGAAAGGGCTCAGGCAAATTAGGTTGTGATTTTGGTTGGTTTTAACTTGCATTTCTTGTGGTGATTAAAAAAAAAAATTACTGTAAGTTTTAGATCCTGAAGTTCAGGATGTTTTTTATTGGACTTAAATGAAGAAATGGATTTTTCCTTTCCCCGCCCTCCCCACCTTATCCACATTTTCCACATAATACTGTTAATAGTATCAACCTCCACAGCCCCTTGTTTTATTATTTCCAATAATTCCAAGTTCATACAGAACCGATAATGTAGCGAGCCCCAAGTATGATAATAGGCAGACTATTCCCAACTTTCTGTCTAGTTTCCAACCATTGAAGTGAACTGCTAAAAAAAGAAAAATAATTGAAATGTTAAGAGAGATGGTTATGTAAGTGAGTCCTCTGCTGTTCACTTCTACAGGAGCTGATGGATTTACAAATGCAGTTTTAATAAACCATGGAACACCTAGGCATAACATATCAAACACATTGGATCCCACAATGTTAGACATTGCCATATCTCCTTTACCTGCAGAAGAAAAGCATGTTGTTAAAATATGCATACTCATGCTGTATTTAATTAATAAGCTCCATAGGAAGATACACTGGATACATTTTTTGTTTGTTGGTTTTGGAAAATTGTTGTATTAGTGCAAAAGTCTTACTGAATTTGTATTTTTTAATTTTTCTTTGGTTAGTATTTAAAGTCTTAACATTTATTTATCTAATAATTATTTTTATTTATTAAACCTTTTTTCAATAAGGTATGTAGATTACTTGTTGCTTTTCATTTTAATTTAACATGGTTAATTTAAATTTTTTGCATTTTCAGATGAATATTATTTGGAGGATCAGATTTAGTGAAATTAATCTTCTATTAAATAGTAAATTCTTCTTCTCGAATTTTTTTTTTCTTCAAAGTATGTTACTGAAGAAAGATTTTTAAAGTTACTTTTGCTCATTGCATTTCATTCAGGCTTTACAAAATGTCCATTGTAGCTTGAGGAACCTACTTCTTACCTTTTCTTGCAACTAGCACACTTGCAATCGTGTCTGGTATGCTTGTTCCTGCGGCTAATAAAGTGAGGCCCATTACTGTATCTGGAATTCCTAGTGTTTCACCTGTAATAAACACAGATATTCCAAGTTACCAGTATTGTACATTCACTAACAATCCTTGGCAGATAGTTCAGATATCTCCTCCCTGAACAAAAAGAAAATAGGCACATTTCGATTACAGAACCAGTGTGTACTTAGGTGCTTAGTTTTTAGCTAGCAAAATTTCCGAATAAGGCAGGTAAATTGTATAACCCAGGTAGCGCAGATTTTTAATGACAGATGTCTAAGGATATTTAATAGCTGAAATGTTATCAGTAGTTCCCCTGTCTGATACACGTCAGAATCGACTCGAAGGCATGCAGCAGCTAATGCACACTTCCAGAAGTCGTGGATGTCCACTGTGGCCTCATCAGAGCTGTGTTTCATATGTTCTAATGAGACTGGCCATTTTCTCTTTCTCTTTTTTAAAAAGTTTTCGTAAAGTGGTCAGAGATAAATTATTTATAGCTATCTTTAAGCTATACATGTGTTAGCATGGTATACATTCTTTAACATCTTATTTAAGTGGTGTCTCTTAGTGTTCTTTGGAAAAGCATTGTAAATCTCTTAGGGTTCTACTTGAGTCTTTCTGACATATGGTCCCGATTTATTAATACTTCTGTTAAATTTGATGTCAGTTCAGCATTTTTCAGAAATGCATTCATTCTGGGAAATAGAATCAGGGGAAGTTAAAAAAAAAAGAGAGTACATGTAACTGCTCTTTCAGTGTAATTGAAAACTTGCTTTAGAAATTTTTAATCTTTTTCTTCTTTTTGCTTAAAACAAAGACCCAATTAGGAAAGAGGCTTATTTATTTCATGCTTATATATTGATATTAGAATGGTAATCGATTATTAATTTTTGTTACTGGCCTTGCCAGAGTGCATATGTACATAAATAACGTTCTTATTTATCATTTTGGGGGGGGCGCGGGGAGCTGTTCCATGATCTGTTACTTGATTCTGTTCTCTTCCTATTTTCCTAATATCAAATGTGTTTCTGGCTGAGAAAATCTTAGAGATTTAATATGCAATCTAACTGGACTTTTTTTTATCTTCCTCATTAAAAAAAAGAAAAAGAAACATTCCACTTTTTGCTACCCTACTGTTCTAAGTCATATATATTAATCTGGGAAAAGCTTCATATAAGGAATCAGCAAATTTTTTTTGTAAAGGGCCAGATAGTAATTATTTTAGGCTTTGCAGGCCATATAGTTTCCATTGCAATTACTCAGCACTAGAAATGTAGTGTAAAAGCAGCCCTAGGTAATATGTAAGTGAATGGGTGTGATTGTATTCAGTAAAACTTTATTGACACAGACAGGAGGTGGGTGGTTTTGGCACACCCTTGGTAGTTTGTTGACCCCTGGTATAAGTCAATTCAGGTTAACCTTTTTGGTAGAAATTCCTTATTTTTTGGTTCTATGTTTATATTCAGTTTTTCCTTCTGGGACTAGGAGTTCTTGGGACTAGAGCGGATGATGGCCCAGCAGTAATTAAGTCTTAATCATGAAGGTAGTAGAAAACTAAAATGCAACTTTATTTTATACCCTTTCATTCTTATTTCATAGTATGCTTATATTGCCATATTGGGAAGCAAAATAAAATACAATCCAGTTACACAGTGAGCACCCATCGTTTTCCGAAAACGCTGGCTCTTTGCTATAATATTTTTCATTATGGAGCGGAATTCAGTATATTAAGAGCTTATTGTGAACCTCATCTAATGTGATTTAATAGTATAATAGACATCCTGGGAATTAGGTTTCATTTATAAGATGACTTGTACCCCTGGGCCGTATAATAGTGAGACTATAGTTGGCATGTAATGCACAACTCACAAAACCTGAATGATCTTGCTGTTATAGAACTTATATTAGTAATTAGTCTTTTTGTAAATAGCACTTGGCTTTAGTCTTGCTGAAAAAGAAATTTGCTCCCTATCTAGATTAGTTTTAGTGAACATATGCAATTTGTTCTTATACGAAATTGTTTTAAGTTGTGCAATTTACAATACATACCAGTTACTGTGACCATCCAAACCAGGATGTACGTAAATGCAGATATCCATAATGCAGACATGAAAAATGTTATCACAAAATAGTTTCTCCAAAACTTTCTTCTGCAATCTGGTGTGGTTAGAAAAAGTAATATAATAATAGGAAGGGATAATACCCAAAAAATTCTTTTTAAGTCTGCTTCAGGCATGTTGAAAACACTTGGTGGATCTGTTGAAAAATTAAACAATTTTGAGTTTCCTCAAATGGCCAGTTAAGTTGGAAATGTCCATTTAGAAAGCTATATTGAAATAAATCAGCCTTATCATTTTTTAAAAGGCTGTTTAGAACATTTGAATACTTCATTACTGATACTGCTTGCAAAAAGAAACAGATTTTAGAGCAGAAAATGTAAAATGTGATACTCAGCGTTTCTTAGTTTGGGGCCTTAAATCCATCAAAATGTTTTGGACCATTCACTAAATATGTTAGAGATAATGTTTATGGAGTACCAGCTGAACATCTCTTGGTTTTCAACAGGGTAGGATATCTACAGTACCTTTTTGCTTATCGGAATGATCTGGCTTCTACCCTCATTGCCATCAAGTTGATTCTGACTCATAGCGACTTCATAGGAGAGAGTAGAACTGCCCATAGTGTTTCCAAGGAACAGCTGGTGAATTCAAACGGCCGACCTTGTGGCCGAGTTCTTAACAACTGCACCACCAGGGCTCCAGCTACTCTATTTGTCTCCACTACCCAGCAGTGATGATACCTTTTGCCCGCCCTGTGTCTGAGATAATACATGCTTAAACCAAAAAAACTCAAACCCGTTGTCGAATCGATTCTGACTCATAATGAGCCTATAGGACAGAGTAGAATGCCCCATAGGGTTTCCAAGGAGCAACTGGTGAATTTGAGCTGCCAGCCTTTTGGTTAGCAACTGTACCACTTAACCACTGTGCCACCAGCGCTCCAAATACATGCTTAGGGAATATAAAAGAATTATAGCATAATCTTTTTATTAAGTTACATATTCCATTCTAATTCTCATTGTAAGTGATTTTTTTTTTGTTTTGTTACTTCATTAATTCACTTAATTTAGAATTCACTAATTCTTAGACACTTAATAGGAACTAGTAGATAATCTACAATGTAACTTACAAAACTTACGTTCCTGTATTCAATTTGTTAAGTTAGAAGAATACAGTAATAATGATGATATATTGGATAAAAATGGGAGTTCACTTTAAAATTGTTTGGCATTTATAAAATAACGTACTCATGTTGATAATCACATTATATAACTAAGGTTAGTAAAATAACTCATGTAAAAGTTTTCCAAGCCTTACCCAATGGGCCATTAAGTAATATTAGATGTAATTTTATTGTAATACAAGAATTTGAGCTGGTTCTTTTGAGTTTCTTGTTATAAAATTTAACTTAGAGAAGCATACCTCGTATACCCAAAAGACTGTAAACTCTCATTTTTTGAGGAGGGAGAAAAGTCGTGTTTTAATTTTTTTAAATAGTAAATTAGATTAAGTTCCATTTTTAATGCACTTAATTAAAATTAGAATCTGTTTCATTCAACCGCTTTATGAAAAGTAACCTTGAAGTTTGTTTCTTTCTATAGCTGTATTTGACTTCCTACTGAGTAGTTGTAAACTAAATGCTTTGCTACAGCTTCAAACAACATGTTTAAAACTGAATTGTTTCTTTTTCCTCCAAACCATCCTCTATTCCAGGTTTTTATAAGTGGTGTCACCATTTTCTCAGTCAATCATGACTGAGTTACCTTTCACTGTTCCCTTTTCTGGTCCCATTTAGTCCCTCAATTGCCAAGTCTTGGTGATTCTACCTCTGTATTGTCTCACATTTGTTCTTTCTCTTTCCACTGCCTTCAGTTTGTGGGCATCTGCTAAACACATCAGCTGTTGTAATAGCCTTTTGCAGGCTTCTATGTCTTTTATCTTTATTTCAGTTCCTCTCTAAACATCATTTCAGGGTAATAGTCCCACTAAAGTGCAGTTCTAATCATTTCCCTGCTCACAAGCCTTCAAAGACTGTTCCACCAGCATTTAAGATTCTTTCTCTCCTATCCCTTTCTATCCACCTTCCTGTACTTCTTTTCTGTGCACATACTGTGCTCCAGCTACACTAGTAACTGAACACAACTTTTGCTCCTGTTATTCCCTTGGCCTCAATCCATAGAATATTCTTTACCCTTGTCTCTGTCATTTACACAATAAAGACTTCAGTAGCTGTTAACTTATTAGTCTTAACATCAGGTCATCAATTAGAACATTACCTGTTCACAGGTTCAGTTTAAATGTTCCCTTCTCTATAGTAATCTTTCCTTTCTAACCATCCTTAGCAAATTATGTACAGTCTTCCCCATTTATGAATCACAGTTTATTTTTTTTTACCTCTTTATGGTACTTATACTTTCATATTTTACCTATTTTTCCTGTTCAGTATTGGGAGCTCATTAAGGGTAGGGGCTGCCTCTTCATCATCTCTGAATCTTCATGATGCCTTTTTCATAGTAAATATGCAATTAATACTTGCGGAATTGAAACGAGATGATTTTTCTAGTGATTAGAGTTAATTATTCTGCCAGTGAATAAATAGTAGGCAGGATATAGTTATTACCTTCAGAAACCTGACTAAGACCATGTAAGCTTAAAGAAAGCTGGGAGTAGCCAGAGTCTTCATGGAATATTCCACTGTCAGTTCTTGATTGTCGACGTATGAATGGTTGATGGTCATCTTCCCATCCCATCAGTGGCTGTTGTTCATTTCTTTCCTCCATAGCTTTGGCAAGACTGGTACAGCAAGGACTGCATTTCTTTGTAATATATTGGTTAATTTTAATGTCAAAACACAGCACCAAAACATATAACCCATATATCAGAAGCAGTAAAGTTCCTTCATACCTATAAATTAAAGAAGAGACATTTATGGTGTTTTTAAGTCATTTTAGAGTTTATAGCTTTTGGACAAAGGCATCACAAAAACATTTCTAGATATTTTTCATTTTGTAGATTTGTCCAAACTTGTTTAAGACATTATGTATTTATTGATAAAAGCTTAACCCTATTCTTCCTATATTGCAAAGAAGAACTTGAGATTATAAACTCACTGTCTTCCATCTGTAGATTCCTTCCACATTGGTAGAAACATAAAAGAATGCCTTGAAAATAATAATAAATGAGGATTTTCAAACAAGTGAACTACTGAATTGTTGGTTGCCATTGAGTTGGCTCTGATACATGGTGACCTTATGTATAACAGAACAAAACATTGCCTGGGTCCTGTGTCCAAACGAATGAATAGTGATAAGCATTGTCCACCTCAGTTCATTGGCAGACTACATTCCCAAAAGTATGTAATAATTAACAGAATATACCCAAAAAAACCACCAAACCTGTTGCCATTGAGTCGATTCCAACTCATAGTGACCCTATAGGACAGAGTAGAACTGCCCCATAGAGTTTCCAGAGTGCGGCTGGTGGATTCCAACTGCCGACCTTTTGGTGAGCAGCCTGGCTCTTAAATGCTATGCTGCCAGGGCTCCTAACAATATAGTATCTGTTAATTCATTTTAACTGTGTCTATGCATATGGTCCTGTTGGAATTCTCTGGTATGGGAATTTTGTAAAAAAAAAAATACTCAGAATGTTAGGCTTTGGCTGGGGCTTTTCAGTTTGCTGTAGAGTTTTTTTTTTTTTTTTTTTTTTTTTTTTTTTTTTTTTTTTTTTTTTTTTTTTTTTATAATTGTAACTAAAATTAGCTTATGTTTACAAGAAAAAGATGTCCTCACGAAGTTAGACGCTAGATACCAGAAACAGTTTGCTTATACTGATTTCCTGCTTAAAGAATTGTGATAGGCTTATGCCATCACATTGGGACCTTCCATCACCTTTTATGCCAATAAATCTGTGCCACCACTGGAAGAACAGAGTTCTCGATTTCCCTAGTGGAGGGAGCATTAGCTTGGATACTCTCACAGTTGCTGTTCCTTATGGACAATTACTGCATCCCAGAAGGATCCCCACTCTTCTAAGCCAGTTTTTTTTGGGGGTGGGGGTAGGGGTGGGAGGGCAGAACAGATTTCAGGATGATTCGTTTAGAAACTGTCCTATGCTAGATTTTAAGTTCCTTGAAAATAGGTGTTGTGTAGAGTGGCAGCGTTGTCCTCCAGAGGGGTGCCATTTGCATTGTTTTCTGTTTGTCTGATGCCCCCTGGAGCCGTGCAGTGTACAGCTTGCGAGGCTCCGTGTTCTGCATTTTATCCCTTAACGATGCCCGGCACAGGGATAAATAACTAGGGAATGCTTGGTGCTTATTAGTTGAAAACATTAATATCTGCCCACTAAATCATCCTTTTATTCATTTTCTTGCACCAGCTAGAAACAGAGAAATTACAAAGTGAACAGTTTTTAATATTGAAACCTTAACATCATTATTTCTTAGAGGAAGAGGCTCTAGTTCCTCCTGTAAATGAACCAGAGAGAACTTCGGAGAAGCTTAAGGGAGTTCCTGTCCTTCCTCCACCATCTTCTCTCTCCAGTCTTTTGTGGCCATGGCCCCTTCTCACTGAGGCAGAGGAAGCAATAACCAGTAGAAGGAAAAGCCACTGCTGGGGCTTTAACTGGCAACAAAAATTGGGAAGCTTTCTGAACAAGCAGCCACTAGGGAAAGGCAAGAGTGGTGGTCTCCAGGGATTAGTGAGGGGTGAAAGGAAACTGAAAAGAAATGATAAAGTAGGAAGAAAAACATAACCAGAAATTGTGATGAGGATGTCAGCTCAGAGACCCACTGGAAAATGGGGCAGAAGTGGCAGATAACTGAGAAAATGACTGAAGTGATAGTTCTGAAAAAAGGAAACTAATGAACCATCAGAATCTCATAAAATCCTCTGTAATTGTGTTTTACATAAAAGTAACAATCATTTGAAGCTTACCAGTAAACTTGGTTGTCAAATATTATGCCAAGGACTGCTGCTACGCTAACTGCATATGCCGCGCAGTCTCTGAATAGGGGCCAACAAGATAGCGTGGAAACCTGTAAAACGTTAGTTAATATACTGTCTCCATTACAGTGCAACTTCAGTCTTAGTTTAATACCAAAATTATTTGTATATTTGTAGTTAAATATTGTTATCTTTTGCATATTGCTTAGAGAAAAGTAAAGGAATTTTAAAGAAAAGTTGTTTCTAAACCTACACTGACTTTCATAAATTTGACCAAGAGCTATTGAATACATGTCGTTTTCCTACTGATTAATAAATTTGATTGAACACATTATTAATGCCTTGTTTTTTTCTTCTAGACTATAAACAGTTGTACTTACAATTTGTCACGACAGTAAATTTTGTTGAATAAAGTTTTCTCACATACCGTGTTAGTCAGCAGGCCACAGGCTGCACAGATGCCGAGGAGATTATAAATTGCAGATCCGAGAATGGTGCTAATGCCAATATCTCCCTTTGTGACAAATACACCTGTGAGCAGTGTAGTAGTTAGTGCTGAGGAAAATGAAATTATGTCAAGTAAGCAAAAAAAACAAGGAGCAGTATTTACCTAGGAAAGCAGTAACTAATTCAGGAGCCGAACTGCCTGCTGCCATGAAAGTTGCTCCTGCCACATCCTGAGACAATCCAAGGCCTGGGGACAAATGGAATCACTGTTAGGCCTGGTAAAGTGATCAAGAGTTTGTCTTCATAAGTAAATACAGCATATAACAACATACTAATCCTGATCAAGCTGAAAAGAAAAAAAAAAAAACATGCAGGTTAAAAATATAAAGGAATCCAGTGTGTCTTTGAATTCATTACTTAATGCTTCTGTAGAAAGGCCAGGTAACTTGGGAGGAATTATGCAGCTACTCCCTCGTATCGTGTCCTGAGTGCTGTGATAGATTATTTGGAACCCAGAAATGATTTCTTTCTAGTTGTAGGACTTGTAGGTGAGTATCGATAGTATGGTTCTTTTAAACTACACTGCTAACTGTGTTCCAATAGGATCTGAGAAAGTAACTTGGGAACCCTAACCTAAGTCAAAAGATGAAAACAAATGTCTTTTAATAATAAATGAAGCTGAATTAAGCAGCTTGTTCACAAAGCATTTGAAATTTCAATCTTGTCAATACAAATTAAATTACCTAATTAACTAAAATCCAGTTAAGATTTAGTACTGTATAAATATAGTCCATTGATTTAAAACATGGAGCCATTAAAACATTGCTCTAGAGTAGGAAATACAAGAAAGTAAACACTATCAAAATAGTGCATATCCCCCAGTCTTAGAAGCAAGCAAATCCGTTAAAACTTTAGTGATTGACTTGATAAGAGTCTTAAAATTTTTGGCTCTTTCAGGTTTAGAGCTAAGGGACCTACTATGGGAATGAAAAGAGAAAGCTGTCAGGATAGTCTACTCTCAGTTGCTTTGGGAAGGCTGAGTCAAGATTGCATCAGAATTCTCCAACCAGGGTTTACTGGTAGACTAAAAACTAGCTGATACAGGTAAGCATCCTAGAGGTTAACTGATCTACCCTAGGTCACAAAGTTAGTGTCAAAGTCAGAACTAGAATTCAGATTTTCAAGGCTCTGGATGCAAATCCTTTGTTGATGTTTATTGCTATTTATTATACCTTATAGATTCCTGACACTTCGTCTTCCCAGACCCTCAAACTCTAGTGCACTTGGTTGAGTCCCTGTAACTTGGCAGTATTTCCTTATTTTTACTTCTTGCTTGTGGGGACTAGTACCTCTTGTCTGCTCTCAGATTTACCTCATTCTCTACTTATTTGCTGGGACATCCTGCCTTTGACCTTTTTCTATTTCTTGGTGTGGCAGGTCGTATTTTACAAAAATGACTACAACAGTATTTCTGCAGTTGCAGAACCTTGCCATTCCTAATTTGAAAAAAAGTGGAGTCTGTATCTCCTCTTCATGAGCCTGGGTGAGCCTTTATGACTGCCGTGACTTAAGAGTATGGCAGAAGTGACACTGATTTCTGAGGCTGAAACATAAAAGGTGATACAACTTCCCCGCATGTTCCTCTCTCTTGGAACATTTGCTTTAGACCCCTAAAGCCACTGTATAAAAAGTCCAGCTACCCTGAAACCCCCATACTTGGAGAGACCTCATGAAGAGAGGATAATAGAGATGCCTGAGGACCCCCCCGTCATGGATTGAATTATGTTCCCCAAAATGTGTATCAATTTGGCTGGTCCATGATACCCAGTATTTTGTGGTTGTCCTCCATTTTGTGATTGTATTTTTATGTTAAAGAGGATTAGGGTGGGATTGTATAACACCCTCACTAAGGTCACATCCGTGATCCAATGTAAAGGGAGTTTCCCTAGGGTGTGGCCTGCACCACCTTTTATCTTACGAGAGATAAAAGGAAAGGGAGGCAAGCAGAGAATTGGGGACTTCATACCACCAAGAAAGCAGTGCCAGGAGCAGAGCGTGTCCTTTGGACCCGAGGTTCCTGCGCAGAGAAGCTCCTAGTCCAGGGGGAGACTGATGATGACAAGGACTTTCCTCCAGAGCCGACAGAGAGAGAAAGCCTTCCCCTTGAGCTGACACCCTGAATTTGGACTTGTAGCCTACTAGTCTGTGAGAGAACAAACTTCTCTTTGTTAAAGCCGTCCACTTGTGGTATTTCTGTTATAGCAGCACTAGATGACTAAGACAGCCCCCTTGCTGTTCCAGCTCCCAAATTTTGAGTCTTCCCAGCCCAGGTGCCAGACATTTGAGTGAGTGAGGTTTCAGATGTTTCCAGCCCCGTCCTCTGACTGCATCAGAGACCCTGAGCAGGACTTGCTGAGCTGAGCCCAGTCAACCGAGGGTGTGAAGATGGCAGGGTGATTGTTGCTTTAAGCCACTACATTTGGGGGTGATTTGTTAAGCAGCAACAGAGACTATTGAACTGGCTATTGTTCATTTTTATTTATTACACTTACTGAGTACATGTACCTTCTATGCTATACACTTGTGCTGGGAATATAGGATGGCGTTGGGGAAACAGACAAAGGATAAATAAGCATTATGTTAGAGATAAGTAGCAAGGAGGAAAAGCAGAGAGGAGAGAGAGAAAAGTCACAGAGGAAGGATTGAAATTTTAGATTGAATAACCAGAAATGATTTCTTTGAGAATGAACTTGATAAAAGACCTTGAAGTGAGGGAGGGCCAAGAGTATTATGGGCACAATGAGCGAGTGCAAAGGCTCTGGCGAAGCTAGCCTGTGTTCAAGAAACAAGGTGAACAACAGGTCTGGAATACCCCAACCCCAGACATCCTGATTCAATTAGTCTGGGCTGTGGCCTGGCTGAGGGGATTTGTCAAAGCTCCCCAGACTATGAGGCCTGTGCGTAGGCAAGACCAAAGAGCCCCCGTGCTAGGACAGAAGTTGGTAAACATCCTCATTCGTTTACCTATGGTCTGTGGCTGCTCTCATGCTACAACAGAGAAGAGTAGCTGCAACAGAGAAAGCATAGCCCACAAAGCCTAAAATGTTTACTATCTTGCCCCTTGCAGAAAGTTTCCTGACCCCTGTGCTAGATCTTCAGTCTTGCAATAAATTTCTTTTCCCTGGGGAATTTCAATAACAGGGTTTAATGTCTTCTACATGGATGACTATAAAACCTACACATCGCTGAACAAATCCAGCATTTGCTCTCATCTAGCTTTTGCTGAGGAGCATGGCCTTTGTTTCCCATCACTGCCTACAACGCCATTAGTACCGCGTGCTGTACACATTCCTATCACCTTTATCCCCCACTGTTACAATAAACAAAGCACAAAGCTACTCAAACAGAGCAGCTGTGTTTTCAAAAAAAACAAACTGTCTGGAACATTGTTTTGTGTACTTATTGAAAGGCAAGAGGAAAAAGTGTGTGAAGGGACAGTTCCATTGTGAAAAGCTCTCTGGGGCTACTTGGAATGTCTAATCCAGGTCTTCTCTCCTATTTCTCAATGTCCGTCTTTGGTCATGGCACTTGATGAACATCCACCTGCAGTGACTAAGAAGGCAGAGAAGTGATGATTTGTGTAGCTTACATTGCCTAGCATCTCTTTACTTTTTACAGCAATTTATACTTCGTATTTGATGACAACTTGTGATGTGTAGTAAGACCAGCTGGCCATGAAATGTAAAAATAGAACAAGATAAGGCAGACTACTCTGTGATTAATTTTTTTTTTTCCATTTTAGGAATGAAGTAAATATCTTACATTCATGGTATATAATCCGCTTTCACATACGTAGTTTAATAATCTCAGTTAAACAGATATGAGTGATGGTATTCCCATATTACAGATGCAGAAATAAGTTCAGGAGGTTAAGTAACTCAAACTCACATGGATGGTTGTGTGCTGTCAAGTTGATTCTGACTCATAGCGACCTTATGTGACGGAGTAGGACTGCCCCATACCGTTTCCTAGGCTGTAATCTTTATGGAAGTAGATGGCTAGGTCTTTTCTCCCGTGGAGTGGCTGGTGGGTTTTAACCACCAGCCTTTACGATTAGCAGCTGAGCACTTAACCATTGTGCCACCAGGGCTCCTTACATGGATAGGAAGGATCTTAAATGTGGGTATTTATGGGGTAAACTCCGCATCTATTGGTTCTAAGTCCAATGCTATTTCTATTTCCCCACAAAATCTCAAAATAAGAATGGTGCTTACACAGGCCGGTTATGACCCTCGTGGTGGTGTTTTCCCCCTGCCTGGGCACTGACACACACCACCCCTATTCTGTTCCTTCCTAGGGTAAAAATACTTACTGGGAGTCGAGTATTTTCAAAGTTTTCCAGCGTATTCCAGAGAATTCATAAATTTAATGATACTGGATATTATAATGAATTGTCTTCCCAAATCAAATCAGGGCTAGATAATATGGGGAGGAAATTGAAGTAACTGTCCGAACTTGGTGCAGCTGAAGACTGAATGACCAATCCTCACTTAATGCTAGCTGAAGAAGTCTTCATTAGAAAAATCCAGTTTCAAGAGGGAGCTGAGGTGATGTATTGGGCTGCTGCAAGGTAGGAGAATGGGTGTTCCTTTAGAACACTTCTACTCTCAAAAGGCAGTAAGAATAAACCTTGTTGCTACTCACTGGGCTCTGAGTATGAAAGGAAAGATTCTGTACAGATGGATGTGTAACACTTCACAGATATTTTAAAAAGTTATATCTTAAGTTCCTGAGCATATTTTGTAAAAATGGTTTATACCTTTGAACTTTAGAATGGATTGGCTTTGTCTTCCCTGACCTTTGAGTAGCATTTCTTTCTGCTACAGTTTATTGTTAAAGATAAATTGTTCTGGGCTTTTCCCCCTAGCTATTACTCTTTCTTTCCCCGTTATTGCTCTAAATGAATAATCATGCCTCCTTCAGTATATAGTAGAAATGTTCAAGGTGAGTTTTCTTTATAGGTTTAAATGTGATCACATTGTTTATATAAAGTGCCACTTTATAGTAATGAGCTGATTATTAAAATTTATCAGACTTTTTCGTAAACATGTTCTCTTCTGTGATGTCATGTTGGAAATTTTATAACAGTTTGTGAAAGCCCCCTCCTGGAGGTATAGTAGGAAGAATATTAAACTAAAGCTGAAGCCTGGATTGTGGCCTCACCAGTAACCTGATAGGAGATTTTAA